TACATTTTCTTTTAAAGCAGTCATTTGTATTATCTATCTTTTTATTTTTGGAACATTAATTTGGATCAGTCTAACTTACTTAGCATCTGAAGACAAGTTAATTTTTATCTGTGAAACGAAATGAAATACTGTAGTTTTGTTCAGATAATTGAAGTTCACCAAAATGGGTAGCTTGGAGAACAGCTTAATAGCTTTCTCTAAAAATAACCCATTCACAGTTGATAGGTAGCATTTTAGTTGCTTAACAACGTGTACAGTATATGGTGCTTGTGCATGATAAGATACCTACTTTATTTAGACAGACTTTATTATCCACAAATATTATTGAGCTTCTGCTAAGAAATGACTATAATGACAGGGGATTGAGGAGGATGAGAAAACCTGAACATACCAGAAATTTTATTTTTATATTAAAGCCTCAGAAATGACTCTGGAAGGCTGGGCATTTATTCTAATGATCCTGCCATTGCCCAAAACCTTTTTGGAACATTTCCATTGGAATTGCCTTCAATATGAGCATATGAACCGTGAAAGAAAACCAACCGTATAATTTTGTAGCACAGCTCAATTTTTTTAATCACCTTTGAGGTATAATTTATATATAGTAAAATGCACCTTCTCTACGTATACAGTTCATTGAATCTTGGCAAGTGAATTTACTTGTGTAGTCACCATAGGAAAGATAAAGAACATTACATAACCCTAGAAAGCATCCTTGAGCCCCTTTGTAGTCAGTCTTCACCTCAGGTAACTACAGATCAGCTTTCTATCACTGTGGCTCAACTTGAGCTTTTCTGGAAGTTCATGTAAATGGAGTTTGAAAGTCTGTACTTTTGGGGCACCTGGGTGGCTCAGTCGGTTAAGCGTCTGGCTCCTGATTTCAGCTCAGGTAATGATCTCAGGATTGTGAGATCGAGCCCAGTGGGCTCTGTACTGGGCAAGGAGCCTGCTTGGGATTCTCTCTCCCTGCTCTTTCTGTCTCCTTCTCAAAAAAAAAAAAAAAAAAAGTCTACTCTTTTTGTGCCTGGCTTCTTTCACTTTACATGGTGTTCTTCAGATTCATCTTTGGTGAATATACCAGTGCTGTAGTTGTTTCCTTTTTTTGTTGCTGAGTACACTTTCATCATATGGAGATGGATCAGTTTACCCTTTCCTTGTTTTGATGAACATTGAGTTGTTCCAAGTTTGTGGCTACTGTGCATAAAGCTCCTACAGACATTTGTATACAAGTCTGTGTGGACATATATTTGCATTTCTCTTGAGTAAAGGTTTAGCAGTGGAATTGCTGGATTGTATGATCAGTGTACATTTAACTTTTCAGAAACTGCTAAACTGTTTTCCATGGTGGTTGTAAAGTTGCACCTGCAGTATGTGAGAGTTCTAGCTTTTATACATCCTCATCGGCACTTGGTATGACCAGTCTTTTTTATCTTAGCGATTCTAATGGGTATGTGGTTTAATTTGCATTTTCCCCTATGATTCATCAGTCATTTTTTCATGTGTTTATTGTCACAAAAAATGTTTATTCTTTTATTTTTAATACTGGGTTGTTTGTCCTCTTGTTTTGAAGTTGTGAGAGTTCTTTATATATTCCAAATACCAAGTCCTGTGTGTTGCAAAGTTTCTTCTCCCATCTGCACAGCTTCTTTTTTTATTTTTTTTTATTTAAGATTTTATTTATTTGACAGAGACACAGCGAGAGAGGGAACACAAGCAGGGGGAGTGGGAGAGGGAGAAGCAGGCTTCCCACGGAGCAGGGAGCCCAATGCGGGGCTCGATCCCAGAACCCTGGGATCATGACCTGAGCCAAAGGCAGACGCTTAACGACTGAGCCACCCAGGCGCCCCTGCACAGCTTCTTTTGGACCCCAGTGGTATTAACTGGCTTGCTTACCCATCTCATTGGCCAGATCGTACTTGGCAACCTTTTCAGTCTTGCGAATTTCTTCTGTCTCCGTGCCATTGTTCTTGTACATTTGGGGGGCTTTACCATTCCCCTCAGAAGGTGTGGTGGTTTTTCCTTTTCTTTTTAAAATTATTTTCCTGGGGTGCCTGGGTGGCTCAGTTGTTAAGTGTCTGCCTTCGGCTCGGGTCTTATCTCAGTGTACTGGGATCAAGTCCCGTGTCGGGCTCCCTGCTCCATGGGAAGCCTGCTTCTCCCTCTCCCACTTCCCCTGCTTCTCCCTCTGTCGCTGTCTCTCTCTCTCAAATGGATAAAATCTTTTTTAAAAAAATTATTTTCCTGACTTGGGAATGCTGCAGGTTCATAGTGCCCTTTGGCCTGGGATGCTAAATGTCCTGCAGTAGGTGGCACGGTTTTACACAGTAACTGGCCTGCTTAAAGTGCCACTGATAGGCTTGTTGCTTAGTCCAAGCTCCTCTTCTCTCTCACTGGTACCATTGGAGTGCTTCAAATGGTTTCTTTTTTTCCTTTTTCCTTTTTACAATTCATTCTGCGTATTACAGCTGGAGAGATTGTTTAAAAATATAAATTGGGCACTTTTAGTTCCAGATTAAAGTGGAAGAACACTTAAGTTAAATCTTAAATCCTTAGCAGAACTGCCAGGTTTCTCCGCCTCGTCCTGAACTGTACTGTCTGTGCTTAGTATGCTGCAGGCACAGTGGCCTTCTTTTGAGTCCACAAATACTCCAGCCTAACTCCTCTCTGCTTGTAGAGTACTTGCTTTCTCTGCCCTTCTTCAACTTGCCTAATTCCCATTCATCCTTCAGGTCTGTTTTAAATGCTGCTTCCTTAGAGAGGAAAAACCTTCTCTAAACCATTTAAACCAAGTTGTCTAGTTATCCATGACAACATTAATTATACCATTTGCATTTTTCCTTGGTATCCATCATAATTTATATAGTCATATAATATATATCCTGTTATGTAAATATATATTAATGCAGTCTCTTTATAGTTCCCCCATATTGTATAAGGTTAGTGATAGAAGGGAGCTTTCTATTTTCACTGCTGTTTCCATAGCAGTCAATGCAGTGTGGATGGTTAATAGATATTTGATGAATAAATAAAATTAATTTTAACATTTGAATGTTAAACAAATGTTTTTAAGGTTATCCAGTGTGCCTCCTTCAGGATCCTAAACTGTCCTATTTTTCTCTCTCTCTCTTTTTTTAAGATTTTATTTATTTGAGAGAGAGCATAGGGGGGAGAGGGAGAAGCAGACTCCCCACTGAGTGGGGAGCCCAGTGCAATGCGGGGCTCGATTCCAGGACTCTGAGATCATGACCTGAGCCGAAGGTGGAGGCTAACCTGAGCCACCCAGGTGCTCCTGTCCTATCTCTCTTGAATATAAATTTCTGTATTAGTTTTCTATCTTTGTCACTTCCAGTGAATCTGTAAATTGCCATAGTAACAAGACTTCTTAATCTTTTTGTGCTGTGGATCTTTTAGGGAGTCAGTGGAACAAACTATGTAAGATTTTATTTTAATTCCAGTATAGTTAACATGTGGTGTTATATTAGTTTCAGGTGTACAGTACAGTGATTCAACAGTTCTATCCATTACTCAGTGCTCATCATGATAAGTGTACTCTTAATCCTGATATATGTGCTTCTTTATTAATACCTTAAATAACAAGATCAAACAGCAGGTCTAATAACTACTGTAATTTCAAAGTAGTGAAGAGTGTAAGTATTTCAAGAATTACAATTGTAGTCTTCTCACTGGTCTTCCTGTTTCTAGTTTTAGCCCCCCTTCATCACTTTTATTTATTTATTTATTTATTTTTAGAATTTATTTATTTATTTGTCAGAGAGAGAGAGCGAGCACAAGCAGAGGGAGAGGCAGGCTCCCCACCAGGCAAGGAGCCCAATGCGGGACACGATCCTAGGACCCTGGGATCATGACCTGAGCCGAAGGCAGACGCTCAACCTACTGAACCACCCAGGCATCCCCTTCATCACTTTTATACCGTATTTCTGATAGTGTCACTCTGAAAGCCTGAGGATTCAATGAGAAGAAGAAAGTATAGATTTCTCAGCTTTCTCAGTCTGACATCACCTTTTGCTCTTTCCCTAGTTGGGTCCTAAACTCCAGCTATATGGAAGGACTCAGCACTTGTACTCAGCCTTCCATGCTTTAGCTCCTACAGCTCCTTCCTACAAGCCCTTCTCATATACCGCCTATTTTGAAATTCTGCCTGCTTTTTTAAAAAATATCACCTCTGAAAAAGATCCACAGATAGTAACACAGAGCAATGCCTGACATACAATAAGCACTCAATAAATTGTAGCAATTATTAAAAAAGAATTGTTCATAAACTTTTCATTATCACCACCACTTAGTTCCTAGTATAAGTAAATTATAAACATTTTGAATGATGTACATAAAGGAAACGAGGCAAAGCAGTATATCAGTAAGTATAAGCAAGTGTAATGTAAAGTGAGTGCATAAATGATTAATACTTAGAATATTGTTTTGATCTTGGTTTGAATGGTTATCAGTTTTACATCAGAGCACAAGAGCATAATGAAAAAATGATTTAGTAGATATTTCTTATCCTTTATATTTGGTCACCCAAAAACCCACCTTGAATCCTGATAGACATGGTAGACTTAGAGTACTAGCAGTCATTTAAAAAAAAAAACCAAAACTATGCTCCACGTCCAGCATGGAGCCCAACATGGGGCTTGATCTACAACCCTGAGATCAAGACCTAAGCTGAGATCAAGAATCAGATGCTCAACCGACCTAGCCACCCATGCATGCCCAATCATTTTTTTATAAAACAAAGCCATCAAGTTCCTAAGAATTCTTTTTCCTCCACATTTTTAATGTGCTTTAATTACTGATCAGTACTTACTGCTTCAAATATAACATACACCAAAAACAGAAACCTTGAGGTGGGGCAAACAAGAGTTGAAAGTACTGTAGCAACAATGTTAACTATTGTTGCTTTTTACATCATAGTAAATATGACTTAGAAAGGAGAGGAGATGTGATCAGAAGCCAGAGGTATGAAAAGTTCTCTGGAGCAGTTCAAAGCCTAGACAGCTTGTGTGAAGAATGCAGTTAGTGGGCTTTCTGCCTCCGCTGCTGCCATGGCGCCTGTGAAAAAGCTTGTGGCGAAGGGGGGCAAAAAAAAGAAGCAAGTTCTGAAGTTTACCCTTGACTGCACCCACCCTGTAGAAGATGGAATCATGGATGCTGCCAATTTTGAGCAGTTTCTTCGAGAGAGAATCAAAGTGAATGGAAAAGCTGGGAATCTCGGTGGAGGGGTTGTAACAATTGAAAGGAGCAAAAGCAAGATTACTGTAACTTCTGAGGTGCCTTTTTCCAAAAGGTATTTGAAATATCTCACCAAAAAATATTTGAAGAAGAATAATCTCTGTGACTGGTTGCGCGTAGTTGCTAACAGCAAAGAGAGTTACGAGTTGCGTTACTTCCAGATTTACCAAGACGAGGAAGAGGAGGAAGATGAGGATTAAAACTCATTTATCTGGAATATTTTGTATGAGTTCTTAAATAAAACTTGGGAACCAAAAAAAAAAAAAAGAATGCAGTTAGTGGTATTGGAAGGGATCAAGTTGGCTTACTGCTTGCTGAGCTTATATGGGCACTACTAGCACTGGAAAGTGGTAATAGTGTGGAGCACCCTACTTTCAGGCCCAAATGTACCGAGGAAAAAGCAGGTACATTCAAGATAGCAAGGGGGAGGGATACTAATGTTACAAGAAACAAAGAAATACTATCAGTGAAAGGAACTATACCACAAAGGTAAAGCTATCCAAATGAATAACATCTTAAGAATAAAATTTAGTTCCTAAACTCTTAAGAACCAAATAATTAGAAATCTGAAAATATTTTAAAGATTATTTTTTTATATGCAAGAGAGCGGGAAGGGCAGAGGGAAGAGGGAATCTCAAGCAGACACCTCCCTGAGCATGGAGGGGGCTCGATCCCAAAACTCTGCAAGAGTAGATGCTTGACTGACTGAGCCACCCAGGCGGCCCTGGAAATCTTGAGATTTTGAAATAATGCTTTTTTAAAGTATAAAAGGTACAGTTTTCATATGGCAATTTAGAGAAGGCTGTATTTTTTTTCTCCACTTGTTTTTCCCCACAGAGAAGACTGTTTCTGTCAGTCCTAGTTGGCAAACAGTAGATTTGAAATGGTTCTTCTGTTTCTCAGAGTCCAGAATATATAAAAGTATTCCTGTGTGTCTAAGTGGGAATCTGTAAATAATTGTTTCCTTTTATAGTCTAAGATACATATTTTAAGTATGCAGCTGCAACCACTCTGGGCTTTTACTTGGACATCAGAATACATTTTCACACTCTGTTGTAATGACATTGTCTTTCCTCTTTTAGCAAGTGCCTATTGCTTAGTTTTAACCAGTGTTGAGAGAGAACTTGTGTTTCTTTTTTTCAGTACTTTTATAGAAATAAGTATTTACTTTCTCTCAGATTTTATACTCGTGAAGGTGTTAGATTCCAATTAAATGTATGGGAAGCCACTTGATCTTGTCCCACAGCTCACTGGTGCTGTTTTTTCCCCCATGCCCACTCTTTTTTCTCTTGGTATTACATTTTGACTAGTGTCTATTGCTGTGTCTGCTAAGTCACCAGGTTTTTTTTAGGGTGTAATCTGTTCCTAATTCCAACTCTTGATTTTTTTCATCTCTAGAAATTTAGTTTGAGTCTTTTAATACCTTCCATTTCTCTTTGTCATGCTCTACTTTCTTTTTCTTGTTATATTTATAATTGTTTTAACATTCTTGTCTATTCTATCACCACTAATTTCTGGGTCTTTTTTTATTATTCGCTTTCTCATTATGGATGTATTTTCCAATTTTTTGAATATTGGTAAGTTTTGATTAGATGTAAGACATTGTGGATATTACTGAGTGCTAGATTTTTTTTGGTATTACTTTAAATATTTTGGGGCTTTTTCTCTGGGATGCAACTAAGGTACAGTTCAATTCTTTCAAAACTTCTAAGCATAATTTTGGGCCTGTGTGGCTTCTTCCCCAGCCTTGGAATTTCATCATGCATGTGCTTCTGATCATTACTCAGCTGAAGACTCGAAGGGAATCCATCTGCTGATCTCCTCAACCTTCTCTGAGGTTCTCTCCTGTTCTAGACTCTGCCTGGCAAATTCTTACTTGACTTTTCCAAGTTTGAATTCTGTCCTAGACTCAGCCAGGCTCCAGTGGGCTTCTCTTCTATGCATTGCAGTCTGGAAACTCCAGGCAGTAAGCTGCCCTGTGTTGGCCATTGTTGGATGTCCAAAAACTTGTTTCACATACATACTGTCTGGATTTTTTTCATTGTTTAAGGTTCGAGAGTAAATCAGCCTGTGTTCCTTTGTCATGGCTAGAAGCAAAAGCCTGTGAAGGTGTTTAGAACTTTAGGAACTCATTTAAATCTCAGGTTATTGCCTTATTTTAAGCTGTCTTGTTTTATATAACCTGCACTTTATTGGTTATTTTTTTCTCCCAATGGAGTAGACAGAAATGGTGAGACAAAAGACAATTTAAATTATGTCTTAAATCACTCATGATGCCATCATCTTAGCTTGTTTCATAAATTGCCTCCTCTAGATAATATTTTTAAGCTTCAGTCTTTGATTTTTTTAAATATTTTATTTATTTATTTGACAGAGAGAGACACAGCAAGAGAGGGAACACAAGCAGGGGGAGTGGGAGAGGGAGAAGCAGGCTTCCTGCTGAGCAGGGAGCCCGATGCGGGGCTCGATCCCAGGACTCTGGATCATGACCTGAGCCAAAGGCAGACGCTTAACGACTGAGCCACCTAGGCGCCCCTCAGTCTTTGATTTTATTTTGAATCTTACCTCTAGTTAATACAGTATTCAAACTTAGTTTAATAGCTGCACAATGACCTGTTAATATTCCATAATGTATTAATCCTTATGTTTGGCAATACAGGCTTTGTTCTTTTAGGTGGTGCTGCAGTATATATCTTCCATTTATTGTCCCTATTCTTTTTTTTTTTTTTTTTTTAAGACTTTACTTATTTAACAGAGAGAAAGAGAGCACAAGCAGGGGGAGAGGGAGAAGCAGGCTCCCTGCTGAGCAGGGAGCCGGATGTGAGGCCTGATCCCAGGACCCTGGGATCATGACCCGAGCTGAAGGCAGCCGCTTAACCGACTGAGCCACCCAGCTACCCTATCATCCCTGTTCTTAAGGATGCTCAAAGGGAGAAAGACAGGTGGAATGTTTTATTTATTTCAATTTGCAATGAATAGGCTATGTTAGGTATTTATTAGTAAATGTTTATCAAATGATTGAGGTGGAATTTAACTTACAGGGTTCAATTAGGGTAGGTAGGGGTGCCTAGGTGGCTGAGTAAGTGTCTGCCTTTGGCTCAGGTCATGATCTCAGGGTCCTGGGATCGAGCCCCACAGCAGGCTTCCTGCTCAGTGGGAAATCTGCTTCTTTCTCTCCCTCTGCCCCTCCCCACTGTTCATTCTATCTCTCTCTCAAATAAATCTTTTTTTAAAAAAAGTTCAGTTAAGTAAAGTTTTCAGTTACCTTTTTAGGAATATTTTAATTCTGTCAAACATTCACTTATAGGAGGTTAAAATATGTACTTATGAATTACTTATTAAATTTAGCCCATATTCTCTACATGCTAATCACTTTATTAGCTTTGGAGTTATCATTTAGTGGAATACCTTTTTCAGATAAACTTTGTTTTTTTTTTACTTTTTCAAATAAATTATTTTATTGAATTATACTTGATAAACTTTTATGGTGGAATAAATTTAGGTTTGCAGAGAAGTTGCAAATAGAGGGTTCCCATGTGCCCCCACCCATTTTGTTTCTCCTGATGTTGACATCTTACATTTCTGTAGGAAGCTTATCAAAACTAAGAAACCAACATTAGTATGTTCTAGCTAAACTCCAGACTTTATTCAGATTTCACTTTTCTGCTCTGTTCCCAAGATACCACATGCATTTAGTTGTCATGCTGACTTCATCTCCTCTGATCTGGGACTGTTTCTCACACTTTCTTTTCCTGACCTTGATGGTTTTAAGGAGTACTGCTCAAGTATTTTCTAGAATGTCCCTCAATTTGGGTTTATCTGATGTTGTCATTATTATACTGGGGTTACAGGTGTTGGGAAAGAATATCACAGAGGTGAAATGCCCTTGTTTGACAATATTCACGTGTTACCACTAAGGGTATGAACTGTTATCACTTGGTGTAGGTGGTATCTGTCGGATTTCTCCACTGTAAAGTTACTGTTTCTCCCATACCAAATTCTGTTCTACTCTTCTACCTCCAGCCTCAACCCCAGCATGTCCCCCCATACCCCACACTCCATTGCCCCAGGTTCCTTCAGGCCTCTGTACCTTTGCACATGCTTTGCTTGAAAAGCACTCTCTCTCATCCGCCTGGCTAGCTCTAGGGGGCCTTTTCCTTTCACCCCACCTGGTCCCCCAGCCTCCGACCATCCACTGCTTTCATAACACCCTGTGCCTCTCAGTTGTTCACCTGGATTTGCTAGTTGTTCTCCTCCTCCTTGCCTTCTTTAAAAAACAGTCAGCTGTACTTTTCCCACTGCTGTCGCCATTCCCCTCCATTTACTTACTTTACACCCACATTACCACACATCATCTCATTGCAGATTCAGTAACTGCTTTGCAGTTTTTACCTTTCTTAGTCTCTCCTGTTTGGAACTCTTTCCTTCCTTCCTTAGCTTCTGAAACACCACCCTCTCCTGGTTCTTGTCTGTGGTTTAGCATGTGGTTTTGGAGTTGGACAACAAGGGTTCTCATTCCATTATTACTTACACTACTTTCTCTCTTTAGCCAGTTCCTCTTCACTGTTCTGAATTCTATCCTCAGACCTCTTTTCACGACATCTCTCTCCTCAGTAGTGCTGCCCAGTTGGCTTTTTTTTTTTAAGATTGATTGATTTGAGAGAGAGTATGCATGTGTGCACGGGAGCAGGGTAAGGGGCAGAGAGGGAGAGAGAAAATCTTAAGCAGACTCCCTGGTAAACCAGGAGCCCAATGGAGGGCTCGATCTCACGCCCCTGAGATAATGACCTGAGCCGAAACCCAGGGTTGGATGCTTAACCCATGGAGCCACCCAGGTGCCCCTACCCAACTGGCTTCTGTTAAAGATTCCCATACCTTATTCTCAACTTTGATCTCTCCTTAATGCTCTTGGAAGAAGAGAACCTTCATTTCTCCATCTGAATCACCCGCAAGCATTCTTAGATCTTCAAAATAAGGAAGTTCAAGACTGTCCTTGTCCTCCCCCCCCCGTCTTCATTGTATACTTCTCAAACCCAGCTCTAATGTGTGCAAGGCCTGTGTCAAGAATACAACTGGGGGGGCGCCTGGGTGGCTCAGATGGTTAAGCCTCTGCTTTCGGCTCAGGTCACGATTCCAGGGTCCTGGGATCAAGCCCCACATCGGGCTCCTGGCTCAGCAGGGAGCCTGCTTCTCCCTCTCCCTCTGCCTCTCCCCCTGCTCATGCTCTCTTTCTGTGTATGTATATCTGTGTCTCAAATGAATAAAATCTT